AGAGGGAGAAGCAGGCTCCCAAGGAGCAGGGAGCCCGATGCGGGACTCGATCCCAGGACCCTGAGATCATGACCTGAGCCGAAGGCAGATGCTTAACCATCTGAGCCACCCAGGCGCCCTTTTAAAACTTATTTTATTCTAATTTAAAAATGTTTAGGGGCGCCTGGGTGGCTCAGTAAGTTAAACCTCTGCCTTCAGCTCAGGTCATGATCACAGGGTCCTGAGATGGAGCCCTGCGTTGGGCTCCCTGCTCAGCGGGAAGCCTGATTTTCCCTCTCCTTCTGCTGTACCCCCTGCTTGTCCTCTCTCTCTCTCTAATAAATAAATACAATCTTTAAAAAATAAAAAATGTTTAATTGTGGTAAAATACACATAATATAAAATTTACCAGCTTAACCATTTTTAAGTGTACAGCTCAATAGTATTAAGTACATTCACATTGTTGTGCAACCAATCTCCAGAACTCTTTTCCTCTTGCAAAATGGAAATTCAATGTCCGTTAAATAACAGCTGTGTATTTCCCCCTTACCCTGGCCCCTGGTAACACACTTACACTTTTCGTCTTTATGAATTTGATTACTTTAGGTATCTCCCATAAGCAGAATTGTACAGTATTTGTCTTTTTGTGACAGGCTTGATTCACTTAGCATAATGTCCTCAAATTTCATCCATATTGTACCAGGTATCAGAATTTACTTCCTTTTTAAGGCTGAATCATATTCCACTGTATGTATTTACCACATTTTGCTTATCCACTCATCTGTCAATGCACACTGGGGTTGCTTTCCTTTTGGCTATCGTGCATAATGCTGTTATGAACGTAGGTGTACAGATATCTCTTTAAGACTATGCCTTCAATTCTTTCGAGTATATACATGGAAGAATTGCTGGGTCATATGGTAATTCCATTTTTAATTTATTGAAGAACCATTATATGGCTTTCTTTCCTTTTTTTAAGATTTTATTTGTTTATTTGACAGAGAGCACAAGTAGGCAGAGAGGCAGGCAGAGGGAGAGGGAGAAGCAGGCTCTCCACTGAGCAGGGAGCCTGACAGGGGGCTTGATCCCAGGACCCTGGGATCACGACCTGAGCCAAAGGCAGATGCCCAACAGACTGAGCCACCCAGGCATCCCCATTATATGGTTTTTCCATGGTGTTTGCCCCATTTTACATTCCTACCAATAGGGCACAAGGGTTTCAATTTTTCTACATCCTCATCAACACCGAGTATTTTCTATTTTTAAAATTACTATTAGCCATCGTAATGGGTGTAGGCAAGTTGTTTTATGTGTATAGTTTTGGACCCTGCTTTTTGCACAGAAAATGATCTTGGACATTTTTGCATGTCAATGGACATTTTTCTAAACATGATTTTTAATGGCTGTATTTTTAAAAAGATTTTATTTATTTGTGAGAGAGAAAGAGCAAGAGAGAGAGAAAGAGAGAGAGAGCACACGAGCAGGGAGGGCAGAATGGGCAGAGGGAAAGGGGCAGAAGCAGCAGGAGAGGCAGTCTTCCCACTAAGCAGGGAACCGAACATGGGGCTTGATCCCAGGACCCCAGGATCATGACCTGAGCTGAAGGCAGATGCTTAACCGACTAAGCCACCCAGGCGCCCCTAATAGCTGTATTATTGAACAGATCCCATAATGTGGTATTTTAATTTGTTTCCAGTAATTTTTAGGGTATAAATCTTTGTGTACATCCCTGATATTTTCTTTAGTTGATAAGGTCCTGGAGGTTGAATTCCTGCATCAGAGTGTGTATATATATATATGTATGTATATATATATGTACATACATATATATATATGATTTTATTTATTTACTTGAGAGAGAGAGAACAAGCGGAGGGGAGAGGCACAGAGAGAGGGAGAAGCAGACTCCTTGCTGAGCAGGGAGTCAGACGCAGGGCTTGATCCCAGGGATCCGGGATCATGACCCGAGCGGAAGACAGAAGCTCAACCAACTGAGCCACTCACGAGCCCCTGGAGGGTATATATTTTTGTCATATATATATTGTCTGATTGCTTTCCTGAAAGGTTGCATCAGTATATATTCCTACCAGCAGTGCAAAAGTATCATCTACACTGAATTAATAATTATCAGAAATATTAATTAATTATTTTTATTTTTTTAGATTTTATTTATTTATTTGACAGAGAGAAACACAGCGAGAGAGGGAACACAAGCAGGCGGAGTGGGAGAGGGAGAAGCAGGCTTCCCACTGAGCAGGGAGCCAGACGCAGGGCTGGATCCCAGGACCCTGGGATCATGATCTGAGCTGAAGGCAGATGCTTAACGACTGAGCCACCCAGGTGCCCCTAATTAATTAATTATTTTAAAGTAAGCTCTTCACCCAAGTGGGGCTTTAACTTATGACCCTGAGATCAAGAGCCCCACGCTCTACCAACTGAACCGGTCAGGCACCCCTCAGACATTATTTTAATGTATGATCATAAATACAAGGTCAGCAAGAATATACATCAACTGATAACAATGGTTGACTTTGAGAATAGGATGGGTTTTGATGTATGAGTGGTCAAATAAAATGTTGGATTTATTTTTATTGTTTGTATTTTTCAATAAGAATGTAATCATATAATACTTGTATAAAATATTTTAATTTCCTAATTTAAAACAGAAATGAGTGAAATGATACACTTATTTTAGTATGCATGTCTTTTTTACTTTTATTAAAGTTAAACCTTTTTTCATATTTATTATATTTATCCTTTTGTGAAATACCTACTTATTTCATTTGCCTGTTATTATTAGAACTTTTTATACATAAACTCTCTACCATTCATGATATTTTCCCTTTTTCTTGTTAACTTCTAAAGTTTATTTTATTTTCAACTTCCAGGAGTTTAAAAAGTTTTATGTAGGTAGTTACATTTGTCCCTCTCTTACTTTACGATTTTTGTCTCATTTTTATACTTAGAAAGTCCTCCATTCTGAGGTCGGATACTCATCTGTGTATCTTTTACTTTGTTTTATGTGTATCTTTGTGTTTAACATTTCACTCTTGAATTCAATTGTAATTTATTTTAGTGTATGTTTTGATAAGGAATCTAACCCAAACGGTTAACTAATCGTCCCAGCACCATTTTAAAAGTAAACCATTCCTGTCTTGGTTGATTTGAAATGCCACCTTTACCAAATAAATTGTTCATGCATTGGATCTGATTCTAGGCTTTTTACTCAGCTTCCGATGGTGTTACTGGGAAGAGTGAGTAGTCATCCAGGAAATGACTTGCTCTGGAGTATTGCTGCTCAGATAATGAACCTTCTGGTTAAAAGGGGTGTATTGAAACAACCAATTTGGAAACGTAAGAGAATGATTTTGTTGGAGTTCTTAAATACTTAAGACGGGGTTGTCATGACTAAACATTTTAATCTTGTTTTTGAACACTGCTAATAGGATGTGCAGTCATCATCCAGTTGCAAGGCACAGTTCCAAGGGCCATTCTAAAGAACTCCCTTCCTCCTTGTCGCCACACTCTCATTTCCCTCCGGTCCCAGCTAATTTAAGAAGCCATCAGGTGATGAGTGTGTGTGTGTGCGCGCGGGGCAGTGGCAGGAGAGGAAGATGGCTTAGTGAGCAAAC